TAAGTTCTTTATAGATTTTGTATACTAGCCCTTTATCTGATATGTCATTTGCAAATATCTTCTCCCATTCTGTCGGTTGTCTTTCGGTTTTGTTGACTGTTTCTTTTGCTGTGCAAAAGCTTTTTATCTTGATGAAGTCCCAATAGTTCATTTTTGCCCTTGCTTTCCTTGCCTTTGGTGAGTACGTCATTAGTTTTTGATGTACTGTTCAGTGATTCATTAGTTGCATATAACACCCAGTGCTTATCACAACATGTGCCCTCTTTAATACTCATCATTTCTTTACATCTATTTCCTTCTTAAAGCAACAGTGAGCTAGGAGTGTCTAGTTTTAGCACTGAAAATCCCAAGACCCAAGAGATTCCCCAGTCTTGGACAAACTGACACAGCTGGTCACTTTACACACCTTCTCTTCCCATAATCTCTATCTCCAATCACTCTTCAAATTCTGAGAGCTGGGGCACCTGGGTGGCTCAGTCAGTTAAGCTTGTCTGTCTCTGGCTCAGGTCATGATCTCAGGGTTCTGGGATTGAGCCCTATGTCCTGCTCCCTGCTCAGTGAGGAGTCTCCTTCTCCCTCTCTCTCTCTCTGTGCCTCTCCCCCCCCAGCTTGTGTTCTCTCTCTCAAATAAATAAATAAAATATTTAAAAAAAAAAGAAATTCTGAGAGTTAAACCTCTTGTCTTTAATTCATTCTCCCCCATTTTTTTGTTACAGTCCCCCAGTTCAAATTCCCATCCACTCATAGCCTGTTGTATCAGCTTCCTCAATATAACTGACTTCCTTATTCAACTACTGTATTATATTAGCCTTTCTAAAAGGCAAATTTGATTATGCTACCCTGCTTCCTTCACATTCTAACAGTTTCCCTCTGAAACACTATAAAACCTGAGTCAGATACTTCATGATCTTGTCCTTGTGTATCTGAATACTCTTGCCTGCCATTTCTTTCTTCTTCCATAAGCTCTATTCATACATATCATTATTCCTAGAACATGCCATTGCAGCCTCATATTTCTAGTGCCTTGTACATGCACTACCCATTCCCATAATCCACCCTTCTCAAGACTACCTGGTATATCTTACTTATCGTCCACATCTCAGCTCAACCACAGACTCCTCTTGGAATCCATCCATACTCTTTCAGGCAGATAACAGTTCTCCTTGATTTCCTCCTGTACCTTATATGTCCTTCCATTTAAAAGCCTATCTCACTGCATTAAGATAGTCTCTTGTTTCTCTTTGCTACAAGATCCTTAAGGAGAAGCGATATATGTTCCCCTTTCATATTCCCTGTACCAGCAGAGTTTCTATCTCAATAAGTAACTGTTGAATTAATGTTTAATGAAGTAGTTGCCATTATTTTTATAAGCCTTACATTTAGGAGGCAGGGTAGATAGGAGTACATAAGCAAGATCTTATAAATAGGAACCTACTACCATTCTTGCACAATTACTTTATAAGTTGTACTTAGCACCTAAAGAATGACCAAGAGTGATTAGACTTATCAACACCTAGAAAAAGGGCTAATAATTTGCTTACTGTTCTTGCATCCCATACAGACAGGGTTTTATCTGCAGAACCTGTGAGAAGAGTGTTGGAGCAAGGAAAAAACTCAATGCTGTTCACAGAATCTGTATGTCCATACAAAGTGCATCTGCATCTTTCACTGTATAGAGAGAAATGAAGAGTTCACATTTTAGGAGTTAGCACCTAAATGTTTCTTATGCTGTCTACACAATGCTAATGAAGATAATTTAAATATCTGAGGCAAAAGGTAGTTTTATAAATGGCAAAAATGTGTAAGAACCACATTTTAAGGGAAAATTCTATAGTCACCTTATATCCTAAGCACTTTATAGAATTAGTAGCATAAAACTGACTAAATTTAAGTTACCTTCAATTTATAAAGTCACTTGGTAAAGCCATCTTTATATTGTGGCATTTACTCCTTCTCATGAAATGACTACATAAAAATTGTCCCCATCTACTAAGGGAATATACTAAGAAAAGAAAACAATGAAATGCAGTTTCATTTGTAGAAAATTTCCCTGCTATTTTCTAATGATTCCTGAAATATAAGTACAAAGCATTTCTTTAAAGGTTTATACTCCAAAGCCAATTATATTGAAATAATCATCTTTAATTATTAGGGTAATTGTTCCAGAAATGTAATTGTTCTCCATACCTTTATGGAGAGACAGAGATTTTACAGAAAAATACGAAGTACATATTTATTTTATTAAAATAGTATATTATTGGGCACCTGGGTAGCTCACTTGGTTAAGTGTGCGACTCTTGATTTCGGTTCAGGTCATGAACTCAGGGTCATGAGATGAGCCCTACATCGGGCTGCACACTGAGCATGGTGCCTGTTTAAGAGTCTCTCTTTGCCCCTTCCCCCACTCATGCACATACTCTCTCTTTCTCTCTCTCAAGAAAAAAATATAGTAAATTATTACATTAAAAAAAAAAAGAATTTAACCATAAAACAAAACAGGCAGAATTAAAGGCATTGCTCAGTCAAGTAAATATTTTATAATTATGAGATATCATTCTCTAAAAGACATCCTAACATTAAGAAAAAATATTAAAATTTTTATTTTAAATTATTTTTTCATTTATAGAAAAGTATAATTAAAAAAGGAAATGAACAAATGTATAATTCCTCCCACTTTTCTTTTACCCACCTTCCAATTCTTTGAAATCATACTGTTAATATTACATTAAAAATCATTACACACATTCGATCAATAATCACAAATCTCATAGTTGCTTAGTGCCTCCCAACCCGTCCTCCCAGTTTTTATCAAATATATATTTAAATTGATCTTCTGCACCCATATCTTTTCCATTTTCTTGATCATTCAGTACTTCAAGAGCAATTCTGTCCGGCTATAATATCTGACATCATCAGTTTTCAAATTTTTGTGAAGAAATGTTCCACTCTTTGTACCACAGGCAAGGTCTGAGGACAACCTAATCTCTCCTCCTATTTCTGTCCAACACCTTTGTGGATTATTTGCTTTTTATGTGCAATAGCTCTCATAGGTCTTTCACAAACACTGCAGTTCAGAAATTTTATCATGGCATGACTTGATGGTAATTTCCATCTATTATTCTTAGACTTTGGTTATTCTAGGACAGTCTCCTCCATTATATTTTTAGGTTTTTATTTTCCATTTATTTCACTTTTTATTTCTTTAGAAATACCAACTATGTTTTATTTCCAACTATGTTTTATTTTTATTTTTTCTCTTTCTGCCTCTACATTTAACATTTTGTCTATGATACTTATATCCTTATATATATATAGTTTTCATTTTTCACACCTTTATAATTGTCAATTGTGCTTATTTTTATTTGTGTGTGTATGTGTGTGAGCCATCAAAAGCTTTTATGTTTTTTATTTCACTTATTTCCTGATATTTCTTAGTCTACTTTTCACATGTATGTACTCTCTTGTACTTGTACTCCATCATAATGGAATACTTTAGCACTTTTGATGTTTTATTACATAAAATAAATTTAAAAATAGCATTTCTGTAATTTCTTTGAAAATATAGTGTGCTGTCTATGAATTATTGATAACTGTGCTTAGGTAATTATGCACTATAAGTTCTTTAGTAGAATTTAGTTTATATTAACTTATTCTTCCATTTTTGCAATTCTTCATAAGTTTGGGGTTGGTTTCTTTTTATTATGACCTATATTTTAATGGGATAGCTACCTGCTAAATATAAATGGCAGAAGGAGAGAAATTGGACCCACCTCTAATTTCTAATCAGATTTGTTGTCTTCCACAAACACATCACCAAGTGTGTTAGTGGCTCCATCTTGGAAGTTCATCTCTCCTTCAGTTTTGTATTTTAAAGTATAGATGCAGTTTGTTGCAAAACCCCTTGAGTCACAAGCTCTGTATTAACTCTAAAGCTCCTGCCTCACTTACCCCCCCTCCACTTGCCTCATCTATGGCAATCCCCCTTGTATACTTTATCTAACAATAAAAATGTCCTGTTAGGATTTGTGTTTGCAACTATGATAGAGTATCCAGTACTGTACTTCCCACACAATAAACGACTATAAAGTTACACAAATTACATAAGGCAACTGTTTTCTGGCATTAAACTAAGCACAGCACAAGACAGTAATCTTTGAGAGAAAGAAAAAGCGACATGAGCTCCATGACCCTCCTGACTTGCTGCTAGGAAGCACTTCCCTGCTATCAAATGTAGCAGTAGGACCCCAGTAGAACCAAAGTCTCAGGCAGACAAGGGGCAGTGAGAACAACTGGGGCTGCGGAGATGCCTGCAATTTGCAGCACAGGGTACGAGAAAAGGAACTCATTGGAATGGCAGTAGTTTTTATGGGGATTTTCTAGGAATTATTGGTCAAGTTATAGATGGCAATTCTACAGAGTAAGAGCAGAGATTTCCTGCTCTGTGTTTGAGAACTGAACAATGATACCAGAGTCCAGGTACTTGTGGAAGACACTGTATTTAAACCCCAACCAGAGTGAAGAGAACTCACTGGGCACCTCACAAGTTCAGCTGGGACTCCAGAAAGACCCCACAGTAAAAGTAAGTGTCATCTTCATGAACTAAGTTCAAAACCAAAGTAAACTTGTCTTGCCAAGAATAAATCCAAGACAGAAAGGGCAAAAATAATCTGCTGATAATTTAACTTATCACTAGGATAGAACTCACTACCTTTTATAAAAAGACCACCTAATATAGACTCCCTATAATTTGCCATTAATAACAACCAGCATGTAATTTAAAAAAATTACTTCACATGTGAAGAGGTACTAGCTGTGACCCATAATCAAAACAAAATCTCAGTCATAGAAACAGATTCTGGGATGAATCAAATGTTTATAACAGAAGACAAAGATTCCAACCATCTGTTATAAATATGTTTAAGAATAAAAAAGTACAGATAGTTATAATGGGTGTGTGAATAAAGAATCTCAGAAGATAAATGGAGACTATAAAAAAGAAGAACATGGATGAATTAATAAGCATAATATGTGAAATAAAGAGATTGTTGAGTGAGCAAATAGCAGATTAGATATTGGAGAAAAAAAGGATTGATCTGGAAACAGCATGAACAAGAAATAAAAGTATGATTAATATTTTTAACCTCCTATGCACTGTTACTGAAATAGAGTCCTATCTGTGACAAAATTAAGCATTTCTATTTGTAAGTAGTTCATTACTGGTAACTTTTTAGAAGACTATATTTATTAAATAGAAAACATCTGAATATGGTATTTATTATTTTTAATTGAAGCATTTTGACTTATAAAGGATTATGCTTTCAACTTAAAAGATTTTTCTTAAAATATATAATTTGTCATTATACTAAAAAGTCTCCTATTGCAAAGTTTGGTAGTATTTTTAAAGGCAAATACAACAGTATTACAAATATGATTATATGTGTTTCATTATAGTGAAGATCTAACAAACACACATATACACAGAAAATGTATTGTTCTAGTCATGTGTATCGTTGCATATATGTATTATTGGTAAAACACTGTGCACGTTCACAATTTATATTCAGGCTTTGTTGTTCATTAAAAACTCAATTCAGCTATTTGAGAATATATTCATTTATGGTGGTGGGATAGAGGGAGGAACTCCTCAGTGATACAGCTCACATAGTTTCACAGATGAAAAGGAAAAGCTGGGTCTTCACATAGCTTAAAGGAAGAAAGAACTGCTCAAGGGGGAAAGAAATCTGCTCCGAGTCACTGGTTTAAGGTGGGGCATTCCAGGCAGACAGGCTGCAAGAGCAGGCTTGTGAGAGATTAATTAGCTGCCAGAGCAGGGAGCCCCATTCAGAATTTCTTTGCAAGGTGAAAATGGACTAAAGTGATGGAGCATAACAGCACCACAAGGGATGGAAATGATTTGTACATTTCCATCAAAAACATAAACACTGAAACCTGATGCAATTTTCTCTTGGTTGCCCTCTCTGCTGTTTTCCTATCATTTTTGTAGGAAGAAGTTAGTTCACAAGCAATATCTCTTTATTAACTCACCTCCTGCTTTTCCTTTATTTCCTTTCTTCTCTTTCCTTGCCCCCTTGATTTAATTTACTATTCTGGTAACTGAATGATGGATAGTTCTCTGAACTTTCAGCTCATTGTAAAACAAAGTTATCTACTCTTCTAGAGCCCATACATTTCACTTAAAGTGTATTTCCCATACATATGCTAACTCATAAGACGACAACATTTTAACATAGTTTCCGTTTGTGAGGCATTAAATTTTAGGGTTTTATTTCCTTTGTTGTGTTTGTTTTAGTGCTATTAATATTGGATATAAAATTGCACCTTTAAAACTTCAAGCTTATATGAATTTACAGATCAACAAAATGTTAATGGAATTATAGAACATTTACAAAAAGGCAACAGCAATATATATCTAACTGAATATGAAGATACAAAGCAAAAAAATCTATCCTTGTTTTAAAAAGAGTACTGGAATTCATTATCTTATTAACCTTTAATAATGCCTAGATTTTAAATAGCGTTTATGTAATTAGCCAACATGGAATAATAAAATTTATCACAGGGCTTAGCTGAGAAATTCTTTAGGAAATACCTAAGTCTAAGAATCCAACATGAACATAAGTGATTAAATAGGTTTATTTAAATCCTCA